CCGAAGTCATCAACCCCCCTTACCCGATTAGGGTGCCCGCTTACCGGGTGGGCCCCACTGGTCCTACACCCTCTAGGGTATTGATCTTTGGAGGTGGAGCAGACAGCAGGGACAGCGACCCCCGTTCGGCATGTCACGCGAGTTCTTTGACCTGAGGGACGGAGGACCGGCCGATCGAGCCCTTCCGGTCATGGTGAAACAATTACGGAACACCGGCCGATCAAAGTCTTATGCGTCGGGAAACAACTCTGGGTAGTGCTCCCTCATCTCCCCCTCGGGCTCCTAAGTCCACTCCGAGCCCTTGCGGTGCTGTCACTGTACATTTACTAGCTCCACCCTCTTGTTCCTCAGCTCATTTGTCTTCTTGTCGATAATAGCTACCGGTCTCTCGATGTAATTTAGGCTGTCATCAACATGAATATCCTACAGAGGCACAACCACTGAGTCATCCACTAAGTACTTCCGCAACTGAGAAACATGGAAAATGTTGTGGATCTGACTGAGCTCAAATAAAAATTCCACCAACAAATTTAATAAGAAGTACATTAATAAACTTAAAAAGAAAATTACATTTTGTTTTTATATTTTCCCGAGTTTCCCTTTTAATCGTTAATATCATTTTGAGGTTCTCATCTGTAATACCATCATTGATGAGCATCTTCACAATTTTCATATCATTTAGGAGTACTTGTGTGCATTCCATTCCATTCCATTTCCATTTCAAGCTCTAGTTTTTCCTTTTGCAATTGAAGATGTTCATCAAACTTTCCCATAAGAAAGTTTAAATGATTTGTTTTGGATACGTTATTACCCGAAGATGATGCAACTTTCAAGGAGTATTGCGGGTTGTCGGTACAAATTGTTCACGCAAATACACTGCATTGTCTTGATAGACTTCCGGTTGACATCCGAACTTTCAACTTCTTAATCGAAAACAGTGGCTACCGCTTAAAAGAACATGTTGAAAAATATATTGTCATTCTCTGAGTCTGAATCTGAAGACGAACACAAAGAAAAATCTATCTTGCAAGTGGTTTGTAGAATGCTTATGATAATGAAAATGTGAAATGTTTGTATGAGAGGTGTATACAAAATATATATATATATATATATATATCATTTTTAATGTTAGTTTTAAAAAATAAAATAAAAATCATTTAAGAGACAACGGTTGATTTTTAAGCTTGGATGCCGTCTAAGAAGCCACGCCAAGGACGGTGGTCACGCGTGGTGGGCGTGCCACGTCATCACGTATATACTCGATTGGCAATAAACCCTTTTGAAGCTGATAGTGTTGATTTTGGGGGAAAATGGACGACGGAGAGAGAAGCGGCGTGAAGAAGAAGACAGTGTCCGCATGCGATGTGGAGGCTCTCAAGAAGTGTTTAGAAGAACACAAAGGCGATTACATCAAATGTCAATCTCAAATCGAAGCTTTCAAGTCCTCTTGTTCTATCAAGAAACCTTCAGATTCGCCTTCTGCAGATTGATCATATTAATTGATTATCCGTCTCTTCTTTGATTCCATGTAACAGACCTAATTACACGAGGGTTGTTTAAGTAAAATTTCTTCTGAATTTTGATGATTGATGCAAAATTTTGTGATTAAATCAGTAATCTAGATCAATGATATCAATTCAATATCCTATTTTTGTAGTTTCCTTTGTTCCCTGGTTTTCTAGGGTTTAGATTTATTGCTGTATATACTGTTAGCTTTCGTTATCTATGATTATCTAGTAATCAGCAATTCAATCCTTAGTTTTAAATAATCAATTTACTTGTGAAAACAACCTCATGCAACGAGGTTTTATTTTAGAACCAAAAGATGTAACATTTTGTATAATCTCTGTCAGTTGCATAATGAGTTAAAGATATTTGTGAACAGGTTTTTGTTGCTATGAGGACAATAAGGTAATTTTGATGTGAGAATTATTTGAAGTTTTGGGAGAATAGTGAGATTTTGCAGGAATTAGAGGTTGGTTTGATTATATTAATAATTCGATGTGCAAATTGCTGTTTGTATTTAGTTGCTTTATTTGCTTTTAAATTGTTCATGATACTAAATCTTCTTTAAATGATACAAGGAAATAATGTTACACTCATTATAATGAGTATCACCCAAAAATAACATTACCTTATTTTTACAATTACACAAACACAAGATTGAATCAAACAATAGAAGAATGTGGTCTTTTAAACACCATGTGACCCGATTCATCTTTCTCAAACAAACTCTCAATCAACTCATCCCAACTTCCCCCCACCATAACTCTCCTAGACGACTCCCCACCTGAAACCTCCCCATCACTCGAATCTTGAAAAGTCCCATATTGAGATGGTAAAACCGCATGAGGCACAGCCAATTTAACAGCCCTCTGCAATGCAGCCGCATACTCTTCACCATGCTCTTTAGCCAATGTCTGTTGTCTCTCCATTTTTTGGTTCATAGGTATCTCCATGATCGGATCCTCCTCCAACATCAACTATCAAACAACAAAAATCAAAATCATAAACATAAACATTTTCCAAATACCTAAACTACCCTTCATTAAAAAAACTCACCTCCAAAGCCCTTTTCGCTTCCCTTTCTATCCAAATAATCGCATGATCAGAAGTAGCATTGCAAGAAAGAACAATGTGCTCAAATCTTCCATCCACAGGGACACCTGTCCTTACAACAGGTGGAAACCTACCACATCTGCAATCCTAATAAGTTAATCACCACAAAAAAAAAAAATGTTTAATAGATTTAATAATTGGATATTTAGATACCTGAAAGGCTTTCTTTCAACAATGTGATAAAGGCGACCAGGTGCATAAAGTCTCCTTGGATCTTTGATCTTCCTTTCTTCAGATGTGAATGTGTCTTTTACACATCTTAAGCACAACAAACATGGCAAACTGTTGAAAAACAGATATTAAAATCGTTATTTGAAATTTTTTATATCCCTAAAAACAAAAAATGTTATTACCAGAAAACCGATTTGAAAATATCTTCCAAAGGTGTAGCTGTTCGAGGCAAGAAATCATCCTGCTTAATCAAACAAACAAACAATCAAATTTTGGTCAACCAAAGTCAACTCAAACTATTCAAATTCAAAAAAACTTGCCTGAAGCACAACAGAATTGATAACATCTGCATATCTAACAGCTAAATTTAACGACATGCATCTCGCAGGTGCAATGGAGTAACAACGCACCCTCTTCCGGTCAATATCTCCCAACTTATGGCGGTTTTGCACCACCACCATCGTCAGCAACGCCGCCACACCTGAACCCAATGAATGACCAGTAAAAGTCAAACTGTAATTCGGATACTCTTCTAATAACTTCTTCAAAGTCTCGTATTCTGCATCTAATACAACTCCAGCTGCTTTCAACAATCCGTTATGAACATATCCTCCATCGAATTTTCTCTGACCTAATTTATTATCCAACAAGACGACATAATCTTTCTGGTTTGCCAAATTAAGACCTCTAATCGCAAGAACGATGTCAGCATGATCGTGATCGAGGTATAGCAAGTATGGTGGAGCACGTCTATGGGTGTCATCGTAAGTTCTTTTCAGAATTAACCAATCAGGGTTGATCCCGTATCCACCTGGAGGTTCAAAAAGAGGGCATCTTAGGTCGTCTTCATAGACTGCAAGTATGTATCTGCAAAGCCTTGGGACAGGTTCGAATTCTTCAGCTGTGGCTATACCCCATGTTTCACTATCGTGCCCTGCTGTGTGGAGGCATCGCTTCCATGCCCATCGAGCACATCCGATACAGTAAACGCATTCGAGTAGAGGGAGACCACATAGGATCGACATTGTAATTGGTGTCGATCGGTGTCAGGAAAGATTGATAAACATTAGTCGATGGAGATTATTGGAAATTGATGTATAACGAGCTTTTGAATCTCTGGAGCGAATGATCGAACAGGTGGTAGGCAAAAAGGTCAACTGGGTAGTGGGTGCCGGAAACTTCAATTCTTGTTTTGAAACTTTGTATCTGTTACGTCAAACGCTGTTTTGAAGAGTAAGGTTTTCTGGATAATATGGACACTCGATTGTTCTTCGAAACCTAGATTCAATATCAAAACGAAGTAGCTGCGTTAGTACGATCGAGTGTTTGATTTCTTTGTTGGATTCAACGAATATACATGATGGATGCGAATCCTGATACAGTAGAAACGGGATCGAACTAAAAGAGAATTCAAAAGGGGAATTAGGAATTACTTTGGAAGTCAAAGCAGGAGCTTCGAGTAACTGCTGCTGAAGAGCGTGTGTGTCAAAATTTGATATGGCGAGAGAAACCATAATATCGTCTGATGGCGATTTTGTTATAAACAAATCGTTGTGAACTGTTACAACTGTTCTATCGGCTGTAGTTAATTCTGGTTATAATTCCTTCATCTGATGTTTTAACATGGTACCAAATCCCCCATTTTGTGGAGATGAACTTTTTGCACTTGATCCTTTTTGGCGATTTGACGATGATTCAATTATTAATTACGTCTACCTGTCTGTCGTGTTGTTTTCTTGATAGATCAGTTACATACTTCTGATGTCGGTCATATGTAACATGGTTCGGTAGAGGGACACAATTTCAATTTTTATTGACATTTCGGGAAAATTACAATACTTTCAAAAAACAAAAATATGATTTTAGACTAAGATCACTTTTAGGTGCATTAAACCCCGAATTTTTTTATTTTATTATTATTATTATTATTATTATTATTTTTTTTTGCATATGTATGTCATTTAGAAGGTTTTAAACCATATAATCTATTACCATGTTATGTGTTATGGAGCCACATAACGGCTCAAGACATGCAACATGTTGGTTTTCTATCATCAAACTTTTATTGTTCTTTTACGTTCTCTTTGTTGCTCAAGCTAACATCTTCTCCCTCTCATCGTCTTTCTTTTTCACCGTCGATTAGAACATCACTGCCACCTCCTCCCCGAGATTAGAGCATATCATCACCATCTCTCTCCCCTTCCCCTATCATGCCTCTCTCCGTCAAAAGAATTCAAGAAATAGGTTTTTTAATGGTTGAATCAACTTTTCATAAGGATTCAAGTTGCAGGTTTTAGATGATGAACTCTTTAACAACTAGGTAAATCGCTAACCTTTTTGTATTTGATTTGTGTGGTTATTTTCCTTTGAAATTGGAAGTACTTTAAATGTTTAAATCAAAAAAATGTCACAACACGAAATTTTTAGGCCTAACAAAGCCTTACCCTACCTAGTACAAGTGAATCTACATTGCATTCATTGTTGCATTGTATCATCTATAGCTGATAGTTTTATTTTATTTACTTCTTTTTATAGTTTATTTTAGCACATTTCATTCGCATTTTAGTTAATTTCCATGTATATTTTCTTTTTTGTTATTTTTATAACTATTTCGGGTATTTTCTAGTTTCCTAAGCATTATTGCAGATTTTTTTGGAGACTAGCAGTGCGGAATTTTTGGAGGCGATTGGACTTGAAGGGCAAGGGGTATTTCGAGCTTAATGGCTATGGAGGTGATTCATGGATTGACCTTGTCAATTGCTTGAATGCTTTGAAGATTTGAACTTTAAATTATAAGTTGTGAGAGATTTTTCAAGTGTGCGGAGATCGATGATCGGGAGTTTGTGGAAGCTTTGAGTGATTTGGAGAGGTAATTTGGGCTCAATTTGATGAAATCTTTGAGAAGAATGGGCTAGAAGCTGATTATATTGGAATTGGGCCAATGGAATAGCTGTGGGGGCCCAAGACTTGAAGAAACCCAAAATCCGTCACACTCACGCGACCCACGTAAGGTTTCTACACGGCCTCATGGATTCCTGAGGGGCAATTTCGGGATTTTGTTTGCAGCTCTATAATGGGAAGGTTGGTGTGCCTCTTTAGCCTTATCTTGAACATCCGATTTTGACACATTCTCTCTGGAGTTTTGGAGCACTTTGAAGCCCAAGAACCCTCAAGAACTTCATCATTTCACCAAGACCGAATTCTCGTAAGACCCATCTACTAAGACCGATTTTAATTCCTTCCAAATGAAGTAATGGCCAAAACCCTCAATGATAATCCCTTTCACACACTTTCCTAAGCTTACATTCACCGCCTCATGAGTTTCTTAGCTATTTAAGGTGTAAATAAAATTCATTTGCGCATTCAGTAACGAAAACATCTTCTTTTCTTACTCAAATTAACAAACCCATTTTCTTTCATCTTTTTCAATTACAAGCTCCAGGAGATCTTCAACTTAACATGATCACAAGATTAAGTAAGTCTTCTTCATTTGTGTGTTTATTCAACATTCAAGCCATTAGTTTATTCTAATTCACACACAATTGTGTGTTAAAATACTCGTAGGATACGATCACTTTCCCGTAATTTAGCCCGAAAGATACCGTTTCTATTCCGTATTCAAAACCATTACCACATAAGGTAAGTTCATACCCCTATATTTTTCCAAGTTTTTTCAATGTTGTTTATTATTATTATTATTATTATTATTATTATTATTATTATTATTATTATTTTTTTTGGGGGGGGGGGGGGGGGGAATACAAATAAAACACAAGTAGTTTTGTGTTTAAAAATATAATTTTCTTTATTATATTTTCTTACTGTTAGCATGCATTTGAACGCAAAACTTATTAAACACGGCAAACGACTACTAGACTTACAAACAATTATTAAAACATGTTAAAACACAACTACTTTACAAGTATAGATTTTAACATGGAAACAAATCATAAATTATTTTAAGTATAGTTTATGGAACAAACGAACTACTTTTACAAAGTTACATGTATTAAGAAAAATGGTTTTCCATTGTATTATTCGTGAATTCGTTGAGGAAATCAATTTGTGAGACACGTCTTCGAGTACTTATCTAAATACCAAATAAAGTCTAGCCTTATGAACCAGAGTCTTTTTGAGGGAGAGCGTGAGTTTGTGATTTTATGTATAAATCTATACGGAACTGACAATCCCGCACCTCAACTGTTAGTTACAGTTATGACATTGTCACCAAGATTTTTTTTATAATATAACAATAAGCATAAGATGATTTGATACTAATTCGGTAGGTTGGCTCCAAAAGCCGATTTTGACCATTTGTGATGTTGTCTTTTATGGTTTTTTATTGTTAGATTTTTTTCTAGTTTCTTACTAGCTCTTTATATATATATATATATATATATATATATATATATATATATATATATATATATATATATATATATATATATATATATATATATATATATATATAGGTTCAGGTTTATTTGAGATCATTTTAATTTTGTGAGACCGTGAAACCAAATCTAAAAATAATTTTAAAATGCAAAATAAATGGAAAAATCCAAAAATTCCTTTTTTAAATATTATTTTCGGAACTTGAATTAATTAAAAAAAAATAAAAAATAAAATAAAATAAAAATGAAAAAAAATCCCGTTTTTGTTTTTTAAAATACGTGAAATATTCTAAATAGAATATTACACTGATATATTCTAAAAAATAATTTTAAAATGCAAAATAAATGGAAAAATCTAAAAATTCCTTTTTTAAATATTATTTTCGGAACTTGAATTAACTAAAAAAAATAAAAAAATTCTATTTTTTTTGAAAAATACGTGAAATATTCTAAATAGAATATTACACTGTATATATTCTAAAAATAATTTTAAAATACAAAATAAATGGAAAATCAAAAAATTCTTTTTTTAAATATTATTTTCGGAACTTGAATTAACTAAAAAAAGTTAAAAAAAAAAAAAAAATACATCTCACGGTCTCACAAAATTAGGCCGTCTCACATGAACCTAACCATATATATATATATATATATATATATATATATATATATATATATATATATATATATATATATATATATATATATATATATATATCTTTGACGTTAAAAAACTATGTAAGTGAATTTATAACCGATAGTGTTTTGATTAATAATATGATATGATGCGAAAGGCCAATAATGGACTAGCTTGAACATGGGCCTTCCTTAGTTAGTTAACATACAGAGCCCAAAGGCCAAACCTAAGACGCCATTTTTCACTTTCTCAGCTTCTTACTATAAAATGATGTCCTGACCTAAAACCCTAATCGTCTCCTTTCATAGAACGCCGATCCAGATATACGCCGAGGTACGCGTCTGTTCCGTTTGCATCTTACACGGATTCTGTATTATATTTTATGTTAATCTTGAATTCTACACGCCATCATTCTACTGTTAAACCTCGCATATTATGATTTTACAATCGGCCGTGCGTCTGATGCACTTAATGATTTGATTCTGATAATCAACTGGTGATTCGAAGTGTTCTATTCTTTGGTGTTTCTTTAGGTTCCGATGTATAAACAAATTCGTACCCTAATTGATTATGTCTGTTTCTGTGTAGAACTATCTCATGAAAAGGATTTATTTTAGATTTCTGGTATCTATTTATATAGTAATAGCCTGAGCAAAAATTGTTAATGTGGATTTGATAGAGCTGATGATTTCCAGCCACATTTGCATCTAAAAGCATGTTATATTACAGTAAACTGTTTAGTTGATGTGAAACTGACACATGATTCCACATTTGTAACAGGATATGGCACCAAAACAGCCTAACACAGGCCTCTTTGTTGGATTGAACAAGGGTCATGTTGTCACTAAGAAGGAGTTAGCTCCTCGCCCATCTGATAGAAAAGGCGTAAGTTCCTTCTTTTAATCAAATTCATTCTTTAAGTCTTCTCAAATCTTGTAATTATACTGTGAAAGAGTTGATTAGATTTTGGAACACATGTTCATGGTGCTATATTTGTGTAGAAAACAAGCAAAAGGTCGCATTTTGTGAGGAATTTAATCCGTGAGGTAGCTGGATTTGCACCATATGAGAAAAGGATCACTGAGTTGTTGAAAGTTGGAAAGGACAAACGTGCCCTTAAGGTGGCCAAGAGAAAGTTGGGTACCCACAAGAGAGCAAAGAAGAAGAGAGAGGAGATGTCAAGTGTTCTTCGCAAGATGAGGTAATTTTTTTTTTTTTCAAATTTTAGTGCTACAGATTCTTTTAGTTTCTGTTTTTTTGTACTTCAAATTACTTTGATTGTTTAATGTTATTGCTTTGTTGTTAATTTTGTGTAATTAATTGCAGGTCTGGTGGAGGTGCAGAGAAGAAGAAGTGAGGACTTTTTCAGGATTTAGTTTTCCTTGCATAATTTTGTTACTTTTAGTAGTCAAGTAAAAAACATCTGTCTTCTCTATTATATGATTTGGATTTTGTGTACCTTTCTTTTATAAAGATCGTTCTTCTTTATGATATGATTTTGCTCGACTCTATGTAGTAGTTCAAATCATAAGTCATCTAATTAATCTTCTTTTTGTGTTTTTATACTTTTGTTTGACTTGAAGTTAAGCAATATATTATAAATCAGAAAACCATGGATCATAGTTTTATATAAGTTTACATCTCAAATTTTACTGAGAAAGAATAAAATATAACCACATTTCTTGACAAAAAACAAGTTGAATAGGTTTGACTGTTTATGTTCAACATAATCTCAACACCTTTATAACTATTATTAACAAGCATATCTTCATTTGCAGTAGGTTTTTGAAGGTGTAATATTCACATACTAGAGCATGTGTAACTACACTAAACATCTCCATGAAACAAGAAGTTGCAATTTGTAGGAAGTTTATGAAGGTGTAATATTCACATACTAGAGCATGTGTAACTACATCAAACATCTCCATGAAATAACAAATTGCAAGTAATTACATGAATGATTGAGTAGAAACCATTTGGAATAGGTCAAATGAACTACTTTTAGATACATAACTGATAAACGTCAAATCTTTACCATGGAGTACTTTTGCGTCAGTATTTTGCTTCAAATGGGATGGGCTCAGTTTAGATCTATTAAGCACAAAGTCTGGATTTTATAGCCCAAACATTGAAGTCTAAGTCCTAAGGGCGGACGGAAGATTTCATATTTCATACGGAAAAAAAATTCGCCTATAGGGGCACATTTTCTATTATGTAGTTGCACACTTTTTGTATGTAGTGGTTGAAAAAAAATTAAGAAAATTTTACAACGCATACACGGAAGTCAGGTGTTTCCGGTGTCATTGTATGATCACACATTTGTCTTGTCCCGATCATTTGAAGTATCTGAAAACATTGAAATCAATAATTGTAAACCAAAGCTTAGTAAGTTTCCCGAAATACCCCACACAACAATACATATATAATGCATACACATTGGGCCCATAGTATAAAACTGGATTGCCCCTGGACCTACAATCTTAAAACGAGATTTCCCCCGGGCCTACAACAAACGACTGAATTACCCAATGTTTGTTGGCCTACAACACAAAGCCATACCGCCTTAACCCAACCACACTTTGTCGACATAGCCAACAAGTACAGATAAACATACAGATTTATCAATCTAATAGATCATTGCATCATAACAACATTCTACACACAATGACAAATACTGCAGTTCAAAGTATGTGAAAAAACTCACCTCACAATCTAGAAGATAACAACGTGGATCACAAATCCAATAACTGACACTACATGTTACCTATACAACATACAGGGACAAAGTCTCAAACTACAACCTAAAACCCTCAATTTGAGCTAAAGTCAAACTCGATCAAAATCATTGGTCAACTCAGCCAGCTGCCACGCCGTGGCCAATACCTTGCCATGCTGTGGTAGCCTCACGACAAGATAGTTGCGAAACTGCATAACGTCATGACGTGGAAACCATTTCTCCACGTCGTAGGAATCGTCCAGACTAGCTTATTGCATCAAGCTCTTAATCCTTCAAGTCATCCATTCATACTTTCTATAATGTATTCTTACATCCAAATCATTCTAAAAAAACATTGCTTTATAGACATGCATGTCCAATGCATGTATTGAACTCAATGATGTAAAATGAGATCAAAATCTCATATAAGTAACCACTACTCGATAACTCTCTAGATCTACAACACAACTCCCCAAAATGACCTCAATGATTCATAAAGTTGCTAACTTATGAGATTCATTCATAAGAACAGCCCCTGCTAAGTCCGAATACAGTGGTTCAATACCAATTTTAGCGGTTTAATTTTACCGGTTCAAACGAGTTTTTGTAAAAAAAACTGGTTGGTTCGTTTTGGTCTAAAAATAGATATAAAAATCAGTGCTAGTTAAACCACTCATTTCCTCGGTTCCTAGTCCAACAGGTTCGAGCGATTGTTTCGAATCGGTTTTTAAAACATCGGGTAGTCAAAATGCAAAAAATGCAATATTAATGTGGGATGCATTCTTTCTATGGTCATTACATAAAAACTTAGCCACTGCTAAATGACATTTTTCATTTTAAAATGATATTTTTTATATTTTTCGAAAATCTATTTTTTTAGGGCAAATACCATAAAAGTCACTATATTTTCACACGTTTTTGAGAAAAACCCTATTATTTTTCTTTTGGTTGGCTCTAGCCACAAATTTGACATAAAGTTACCATTCTAGCTCATTTAACGATTTTTATGGTTAACTCTGTTAATTTTTTTGCAAAATTAGTCCTAAAAGTTTAAATTTGGTCCCTGTAGTTTGCAAAAATTTACACAACATGTCCAAAACTCGGTTTATGTTTTTTAATTTCTTTATTTTCATTTATTTTTTTATTTTTTAATCAAAGCTAAATTTGCTTTTATATTTTTTTATTTTTTTTATATTTTTCGTTCTTATTTCCTTTTTCTTATTTTTTATTTTTTAACTTCTTTTTTTTTTGTTTTTATATTCATTTATTTTTCATATTTTTTTTATAATTTTTTTTTGTTTTTTTGTTTTTTGTTTATTTTTGTTTTTTCATTTTTTTAGAAAACCAAAAAAAACTCAAACACCAAAAATGTAATATACACTAATATATTCATACACTTTACACTTTCTAAAAAATTATCAAATTGACGAAAAACAAAACATAACAAAAATACGAAAAAAAAAAAAAAAAAAAAAAACGAAACAAATACGAAAAATATAAAAAAATATATTCACACACGTTAAAATTTTTGATAAATATCAAAAGAAGTTTTCAAATTGAAGAAAAACAAACCGTAAATTTATTTTATCAAAAATAAAGAAAAACGAAAAGAAAAAAAAAACGAAAAAAATGAAAATAAAGAAAAAACAAAAAAAAGAAAAAGAAAATATACAAAATATGAAAAATAAATGAATATAAAAACGAAAAAAAAAGGAAAAAAGAAGTTAAAAAATAAAAAAGTATATATAAAAAACCAAAAACAAAATAACGAAAAATATAAAAAAATTATAAAATATATAAAAACAAGTTTAGCTTTGATTAAAAAATAAATAAATAAATAAATAAAAATAAAGAAGTTAAAAAACATAAAACCTAGTTATGGACATGTTGTGTAAATTTTTGCAAACTACAGGAACCAAATTTGAATTTTTAGGATTGATTTTGAAATAAATGAGTTAACCATGAAAATCATTAAATGAACTAGAATGGTAACTTTATATCAAATTTGTGGCTAGAACCAACCAAAAAAAATAATAGAGCTTTTCTAAAAACCGTGTGAAAATATTGTGGCTTTTATTATGTTTGTCCTTTTTTTTTTTTTTTGGTATAGATCTTCAAAGGTTATACTCACATCAAAAGAAAGTTCTATTATGTCGCAATGGATTTTGTGATTTGTACCGAATCACTGTGAGATGAATGGTTATTTATTTACTCCCCCATCCCAAAATTATTGTCCACAGACAACAAATACATAGATTTCAGGAAGTATTAATTATCAATAACTTTATATAATAAAATGATAATTTTGTCATTACTTTGTATTTAATGTTCCATTATATACTTAGTTGGTTAAGTAATAATGATGAAGTATTTTGGTAAAAATGTTATTTATTTTTAAAAATTGATTATTATTTTGGAACAACCGAAAAAGGAAAGATAGACTATAATTTTGAGATTGAAAGAGCATTTATTTTTTTCTTTTTTTTTGTTGTTAAAACACAACCAAACCATATTTTTAAAAGTTGAAAACATTTTATACGGTTTTTTTTCCGGTTTTGGTTTATGCGTTTTTTCGGTTATTTTTAAATATGATTCGGTTTTTGCTCACCCCTAGTCAATCAATATCAAACCATATATCCTCTATTTAAATTGAATTTTTTATTCCTTGTTTCCACAATAGGGATTATCACTAAAATGATAAAATGATAGACCATGTTTATGTATAAGAAATGAACATAATTCTTGAAACTATCACGTAATAACCACATAATTTGCTGTATGGTATTTACGAAATTACTTTAATAATGCCTTTGCCTTGTCCATTTAGCAAAACATATTATTATTTATTTCAAATCCCAAAAGGCAGAAACCCCAAGGTGATTCTTATTCCTTTTTATTTTGGTCAGCTTAATGATTATCCCCTAAATTTTTTTTCTTCAAATGGTAATGCACAAGAAATTTTTAAAAAGAACAAGCAAAAAAAAAAAAAAAAAAAAAAGAAATTCCATACAATTTATTGACTCCCTGTTCTATTCAGTTTTGTATCAATAGCTGTTACTACTCACGAGTACACTTTGCAACCATTTGCAAAACCATTATTATCCAGAGTATACACAAACAGGGGGCAAAAGGGTAAATTCAGCTTCATAAAATAAAATTACAACAAAAAAAAAAAAAAAAAAACGTCCACCATTACTCATGTCTTGAACTTTTGCGTCAACTTTTCTTTAACAGCCGAACTCCACCCAACCGAGCTTCGTTGCAAATCTTGAATCGATCCACCGACTTTCAACACAACAGCATCTTTCACCTCACCCACTTGCTTCACACCCTTTGATGCAAATTCCTTCAATTGAGATATAAAAAAGAGTATCCTTTCAATAACTTTATCAATCGTCTCTTTGGATTTACCCTTTAAATCTTGCGTCATATTCTTGAGTTTTTCCACCATGTTTTCAGCTCTGCTTTTGGTTTCTTGTATTGAGAATTGTTTTTGAGCATTGACCCATGTGGATTCGGTATTTGACTCATCACGAAGGTCATTATCCACAATGACTTTAATGCCTTGATTTTCCCATTGGGCTCGAGCATCTTCCACAACTTTCACTTGTTCTCTTGCCCTTTTTGCCTCATCTTCCGCCCAAGTTCTTCATAAAAAAATATAAATAAATAAAATTATAAAAGTTATTTTTCTAGATAAACATTAAAAATTTACCTGGCCATGGCTAGGGCTTTCCGTTCAACTTCCAATTCATATTGCAAACGTGAAATCTCTTGAGTCTCGAATTCCGCATTTGCCCTTAGCTTATTTACCCTTTCTTTCTCAAACGAAATCTCCACTTTATTACTCATAATCCCCTGCAACTCTTCTTCTGCTTCACGCCTCAGCTTCAGAAGC